GTGCCACACTTGTCCCCACGTTGTCCCAGCACGTGGCTATTGTCCCATTGTCCCCACAGATCCCTGTGTCAGTGCATCTACTGATTACCTTGGTAACCTTTCTTTTTCACTCTATCAACTACAGACAGCATCTCTCGCTCCCCCACTGTGCAGGAGGAGGGCATCCCCTCCTCTTACCCTACCCTCCACGTATCAGCCAGCTTTGGTGGGTGTGCTAAGACAGTAACAACGCTCTACACAACAAAGAATTCTTAGCAACTCAGGCTCATTTCTCATTCCCATGCCATGTCACACTCTGCTTCTGATGTCCTCTTTCTGTTAGGGACCCGACTGAAGAGCGGCCCCCACCGAGATCTGCCACTCTCACGAGAGAGGCACTAGAACAATGGCAGAACCTCAGGAGGCCCCTTGAAGCTTCTACTCCGGCATGGCTTATGTCACTTCCACTTACATTCAATTGGCCAAAGCAAATCACGTGCCCAAACCTGACACCAATGGGCAGGCAAGGAAGTACGCCCCGCCCACAGGAGGCGGGGCAAGCCACGGGAGGACAGTGAATAACTGGCAGCAGTAATTCAATCTATCACAATTGCTTGCCCTTCTCTTGTCTTCTACTTGCCAGCTTCTTCAAGCTGTGCCTTTCATTTTTCATCGTCAAGGTGGAAAATCTTTATACCCTCCTTTGTAGCTATTTTAAGTAGAACTTCAGTGCTTTGCGTTTGGTTTTAGAAGTTCAAAACCACTGAGCAGCCTTTATATCCTGGTGACGAAGCAAGTATTCTTTGCTGCAGAGCCAAAGAGAACCTAGGAGCCCACATGTGCACCACTGGCCCAGCGACAGGCCCCCCGCACTCAAAAGGGCCTTTCTCGCAGCCCACCACGTGCTCAAAATCAGGCCGTGTCTTTATTTGCTTCATATGACAGCTTTGTCTTTCATGAAAAATTTTTCTTGTTTTTCCAGAAGTTTTTGATGGCCTCTCTTTCCTTTGTTGGTAGAAGAAACAGGTACCTTCTTCACCATGTTCCTAAAATCTTCTAAATTTTCTCTCTGTTGTCTGGAATCTTTCTATTCTTCTTTTTGAAACCTGCTGGCCTTCTGATCTCATTGGGCAGCTTCCTTCATTTTGGGATCCTAACGCATTTGCATGACTTTGTCTTTACCGCAGTTCTTAATCTCCTTCTGTTTCTCTTGCTTATGTTCTGCGTTCTGTCACAACTTCAGTTTCTCGAAATGTATCCCCCCTCATGCCGTCCTCAGAGACCACTTTCCTAGAAACTCCCCCTCACCCCGCCTCCCCACCCCCGGTCTAATGAAGACTGACACCTCTCCAGGCCCGAGAACAATTGTATCCTGGGGTTGCCTTCATGGCTGTCCTGAATTGGATACATTATTTCCTGGATCACTTATCTTCCTTCTTAGTTTACACTGTTGTCTTGCTAAAATACATCCTCAAATAACTTCCTTTAAAAGGTTGAGTAGGATCTAAGCTTCCTGGGTCCTTGCCTGGGTGCAAACTTCCAGGTCCTAGCCTGCCTCACTTCTGTGCAAAATAAAGCTGCTGGACCAGACGATTTCTAATGCCTATTCCTGGAGTATCATTCTAGTTCATATGTATTCACAAATGATATACAGTACCAAGGAGAAATTTAAAATGGTTGCTGCTCTGAAGGAACTCACAGATAAAGAATAAACTCTTGAAACAGTAACAGAAAGTCAACAGTACAAAAAATGCCACAAGGGAGGACGTGGTAAATATCAGAGCCTCAGGACTGGAGGGAAGAGAGAAGGAAGCAGCTGAGCCAGCCTGTGGTGCTCTTACCGGGGAAGCGAGGCTTCCGTGGAGTGTCAAAGAGTAGGCGGTATATTAGGCATAGATGAAATATTCATGAATATTCAACAGCAGATGAATGGCCAACATTAGTCTGATGCAATGGTTAACGGCCAATGGAAGCTCTCCATCCCACTTTCCCTGCCACTACCGGAGTCATCGACATTTTCACTGCACCAAGCCAACAAGATAGATACCATTTTTACACGTGAAAGTGTAATTTTACCCCTGACCAACAGACAAACTCTCTGGCTGTTTGGGAACATAGCAATGAACTTGCCCTGTGTATCTGAGTAACTGCATATCCTTGTATATACAGGCCCCACTTATGGGACTATGCAGGCACAGGCGGTGGTCTTCATCAGCAGAATAGGAACTGGGGTGCCTCTCTTTACCATCATCCACTGTTAAAATTCGTTTCTATTGTTCCAGTGAGGAGTCAGAAAGATGGTAAGACACGCCTGCTTTCCATCCGCTCCCCAGGAGGGAAGGAAGCTTCAACAAGAGATGCTCGGGCCGAAGGCCTGCCCAGTCTGCAGAGAGTAGGAGTGCAGTGAGGATGGGAAAAGTGTGGGGGTCCCGTGGTGGATCTTCCCTGCCAGGTGTGACCTCACACCACTTCCTCTGGGAGGTTTTCTCTGACTCCCAACCCAGGAAGCATTAACTGTGGCTAAAACGCTGTTTCTGCTGCCATCATAGCATTTATCAGATTCAAACAAAGTTTGCATCAGTTGCTCTCAATAACCTATGACATCCCAGCTGATGTATTCATCGTCACATCCCCAATGCCTGGCGTGGGGCAGGTGCTGTGAGTCTGTGCAATGAATGAGTGAGTGGATTCCAAGTATTTTCCATTTCCTCACAGGGCAGAGCCACACATGAATATTGAGTTTTCACAGGAGCTTCAGATGAGCCAGGAGGACCTGGAGGAGGGGAGGGTGGGGTGGGGAGACTGCCTGCAAGCATTGCCTGGGCTGGTTTGCCATATAGGGCCCCACTGCAGGTCAAGGTGAGCAGAGAGATCAACAGATACACAGCAGAAAGGTCCAGAAAGGCGCGCGTGCGGGCGCACACATAGGGACGGACCCAGTGTCAGTTCTGCAGAAGGGCAAAGCGCAAGAGGGACCCACCCCCTCCAGCGCACTGGAGCCCTGAATAAGCTCTGAGCAATCTCATTCCGTCCTCCCAGGCACCCAGAGAGACAGGTGTCCCTAGATCACAAGCGGGAAACACTGCCAGGAACCAGGACCCCTGCAGCGTGGAGAGGGCCAGGGGCCTGTGCACCCGGTCTACAGTATCAACCAAAACAAAATGAAAAAAATAAAGTGTGGATTCAATCACAGAAAACCCGTTAGTCTGAACACCCGTGACTCACCTGTCTTATTACTTCTGTATTTTCCTTATTTTCTCCTGGCTTCCCAGAAAGGTTTCTTACAAAAATCCTACAGGATTCTGAGAGGGGAAAGCCAGGTCCCATCATGGGGGGTATGGAGGGGGGGGCTGGGGGAATGGCAGCAAAGGTACCTAGTGAGGTGCGACCCAGGAGGGCGGTCACAGGTGCACGGGGGTGGGGGGGGCGCAGCTGCGGGCTCCTGGGGGCGGCTCCCTCACTCAGCAGGGCCTGGGTACAGCCCCTCCCACCTGGCACCCACTCGTTTGTTTCCTCAAAAGACCATAGGGCGGCATTGACTTCACCACTTAAAAAAGAAAAGTGGAATCAAGATGCAGCCCTGCTCATGACTGTCACATCCCGGAGAGAGGGACAGGCAGTATGTTCACACTCCAGCAGGTGGGAATTGCCCACAGCCAAATTCGCACCAGGTCGCCGCCCCGCGCAGCGTCTAACGATGCAGAGAGCCGGCCTGTGCAGAGAGCCGGCCTGTGCCGAGGGCAGGCTTAGGCTGCTGGCGGCATCGCAGAAGGGGGAAGCACGGCTAAGGACCACCTAACCCCCTGCTCAGACAGATGTGCCTTCTGCTCCTGGCCGCCGCAGCCCGGCAGGCAGAAAGACAAGGAGAAAGTGAACACGTCCTGCGTGGGTGGGCGCGCGCGCTCTCTCAGCTCCGCGAGGCCGTGAGAAAGGCCAACGTACGACAGAAAACCACTTCTAGCTGACCCCGGTTTTTGGAAACTTGGAGCCAGATGCTGGCAACTGGCAGGCGCGCAGGGGCAGGCCTGCTCCTGGAGAGGGCACCCAGGGGCCTCCCTCTCCGCCGCGCACGGAATTGGAGAGGCGGGACCGCTCAGCGCGAAAAACAGCGAGTGCCAAGCAGGGGAGTGGGGGTAGAGCGTGCAGAGATTTGGGACGTGAGGACCAAAGAGGGTCTGGAAAACTCACCCCCTCTCTCACACACCCTTCCTCACCCCCATCTCTCTGGTGGGCCCCTGTTAAAATTTGGAACACGGGTGCCGTCAGAGTCCCTCCAGCCAGCCAGACTCCAGCACAGAATTACACGGGCGCGCTCTCCACTTCGAAGGGACGGAAGGGACAGGAGGGAGTTTGGGGTCACCTCTGGCCATGTGCGGTCCAAACCCACAGGTATCCAAACTAATCATCCCTCCCCCGCTCCCGCGGCGCCCCGCGGCGGGTGGGGGGGGGGCGGGTTTGTCAGCGGAATCGCCGCCTCTTGGAAAGAAGGGGAAGGAGCTTCTGGCTAAAGAGCTCTCGCCCCCACACGGTCCGCACCCGCGAGCTGCAGGGTGTCTTCTAAGCCCGGCTTGCCTCCCTTTCCCCCGGCAGCGCCGACTTCTCGGACTCCCGGGACTTGGTCGGCGCCGGGTGTGGCCACAACGTTCCTCCTGCCCGGGTCCCGGGGCCCTCGGAGAAAGGGGTTCGCGGGAGGGTGCATGGTGGAGAGAAGGGGCAGGATTTCGGGGAGGCTGGAGGGGAGCCGTTCTGGCCGCCGCCGGCGGGCTACAACATTCCCCGCAAAGTTTCCGGCTCTTGGGCCGGACAACCTCGTTAACAGGTGGGAGAAGGTGAAAGGCTGGGTGGGCGGCCCTGCGCCCTCCCGGGCGCCTGCTCCGCGCGCTGCTGCCACCTGCCAGGGGGCGCTGGGAGCGCGGGCCGGCGCTTGCAGCCGCGAGCGCCACCCGAGGGTCGCAGTCCCTCCCCTGCCTGCCCTCCGCGGCGGGGCCCGGGGCGCGGGGGTCGCGGCCGCCGTGTCTTACCCAGTCCCGGCACGAAAGTGTTGAGGAAGAGGCAGATGACGGCCACCGGGAAGGGCATATAGGGGATGGCGGCGCGCAGGGGGCCCTTCTTCTCGCGGACCTGCACCACCACCCCGCTGGACGAGGACGCCCCCCGGGGGTCCGCCGCCGCCGCCGCCGCCGCCGCCGTCTCGGCGTCTTTGTGCGAAGACTCCATGGCGGGGCGCGCTCCCCGGGAGCCGGGCTGCCGCAGCCGGGGCTGCTGCCCAGCGCACAGGGGGCGGGGGACGGCCGGCGCCGGGCTCCGGGCTCCGGGCTCCGGGCTCCGCGCCGAGCTCAGGCGGCCAGCGTGCTTCGGGTGCCCGCAGCTGGCAGGGAACCCGCACTCCCGCGTCCCCACGCGCCTGGCCCTCTGCCGCGCGCTCCGCTGCGCTCCCACACCCCCGGCTGAGGGGCGGAGAGGGCGGCGTGACACTCGGTGACAGCACTCCGACGCCCCTCCCCGCTGGGCCCCTTCCCCGCCCTTCTCTCCGCCCCCCACCCCACCCCGCTAAAAGTCCCACTTACAAACCAGGGCGAAGGGAAGAAAGTAGAAGGGGAACACAGAGGGAGCCGGTTGTCCCTCCAGATACTGGGAGGGATGGACAGACTTCGCCCTCCCTCCACAGGTGACTTGGACGGGAACCTCCGCCAAGGCCGCAGAATTGGTCGTGTGTTCTCAGCTGGCAGGGGCAGGGGAAGCCTCAAGTTCTAGTCCTTTAGTCTGGAAGAGGTGCTGGACCTTAAGGGAGAAGGAGGCAAGGAAGGCAGGGCGCCTGGTGCCCAGTAGGCCTTCAATTCCTTCTCATCTAAAAGGACTTGTTCCATCGAGCCAAAGCAATCACAGTCTCGGTAACAGAGCATAAAGCAGGAGACAGCTTTTCAAACAGGTCTTCGAAGCAAGACACTGAAGTGGGACCCTCCCCTACACACGCGCAAAAAGCGGAAAGGAAGGGGCCTGCCACCGGAGAGAGGGGATGCTGGGCACCGGCCCCTGAGCCGGCCCGGAGGAACCCCTGGCCGTGCGCTCGCGCTCGACGTGGGGGTGAAAAGGCCAAGGAGCACACAGCGCCCTCTGGTGTTGACAATGCGGCAGTTGGTGGAAGGAGAGGAATGGTCCAAGCCGGCCCCAGGAAGCCCCCTAATTGAACTAGATTTTTGAATAATGCCGCCCTCACCTCCACATCTGGAGAAAGTGAACGTATGGAAGTGACGCTTTTTATGCGAGGGAGGGGTTCGATGCATCGGAATTATCCAGAAATTCAGCAGCTCATGGGAGGACTGGAAGGATGCAAATCAACTTCCTTCCCAGGAATCCTCGTTCTCCAGGAATAAGAATGATTGAATGGCAGCCCAGAGGCTCACAGGAAGGGTGCCGGGATACCACGGGGTAGTTTATGGGTGTCTGATTGAATACTTTTAAGAGCAGATGGTCGGCAGGGGTTAGTGGTGATACTGGTGGACTCACACACACACACACACACACACACACACACACACACACGCAGTAGCCAGCTGAGGTCTGGCAGTCAGAGTGAATAGGACTGAAAGTCTTAGTCTCTCTTCAGCCTCCTGTGTGACTTAGAAGAACTCATTTAGCCTTTTCTGGGCTTGAGTTACTGTGTAAAATCAAAGCAAGATGCAATTTACTACACATTTATGGAAGGCCTAATCCGACCTAGCTTCTGGGGAGAGAGAAAGGAGTAAAATCCAGCCCCTGCCTTTAAAGATCTCGCAGGCGAGGGCCACGAAAAACCCCAGTGACAGAATTACAGGCAGTGACAAATGTAACTGTAGGGAGCTGGAGGTGCTGAGGAAACAGGGACCTGTCTTCAAAGGCAGCTGGAGTGGGGGAGGCACCAGGGCGGGCCTTCCAAAGAATGTGGTGCTCAGTGAGGCCTGGGCAGTGACTGGAGTTAACTCCTCGCAGGAGACTGATTTTACAGAAACGCCTATTTACCCAAGCACGCCCTGCAAGCACCATTCTAAGCACTTTACACATTTTTTAGAAGATTTCATTTATTATTTTTAGAGAGGCAAGGGAGGGAGAAAGACAGAGAGAGAGAAACATCAATGTGCAGTTGCTGGGGGCTGTGGCCTGCAACCCAGGCATGTACCTTGACTGGGAATCGAACCTATGATGCTTTGGTTCGCAGCCCACACTCAGTCCACTGAGCTGCCCCAGCCAGGGCTTGCACTTCACACATTTTAACCCATTTGATCCTTACCACAACTCTATGAGGTATCACGTATGACCCCATTTCCCAGATGGGGGAGAGGGAGCCCAGAGCATCTAAGGAACTTGCACAAAGTCACCCACTAGTAAGTGACAGAGCTGGCATTTGAATGCTGGCATCTGGCTCCAGAACCCATAGTCAAAGACTAGGTCATAACCCTAATTTCTAAAATATTCTCTCCCAGAGCCCCTGAACTGTCGGAGGGCCACACAGACTCAATGATTCCAGGAAGGAAGGACTTCAGGAGAGGAAGTAGATTTACATCCCTCGACTTCCCAGGTGGTCCTGATCCGAAAGACATCCAGGCAGAGCAGCAGCATGTACAACGGCACAGAAGCCTGGACTAGGGAACATCCCAGGGATTGCAGCATGGCTGGGACCAGGGCTCCTGTGGACAGGGACAAGGGGGGGGGCAGGGGGGCGGGAGGTGGGCAGGAACCTAGTAATGAAGGGCAAAGGAACTGGACTTTGTCCTAGTGATGACGCGGAGAATCATTGGAATACTTTAAGCAGGGGGGTAGCATAAGTGATCCAGTCACTATTGTGCGCTTGGTAACAAACTACCTAAAATGTAGTGGCTTGGCCCCACCCTTTGGTGGGTCTGGAAAAGGGAGGAGCACAGCTGAGGCGGCTCCTCTTTGCTCCTTTGTGTCTGGAGACTCAGCTGCGAAGGCTCACGTGGCAGCGGCTGCAACCGCTGGGGCCGGAGAATCCACTTCCGAAATCATTGCTGGGTCTGGTGCCTGCACTGGGGAGCGTGAAAGCTGGCCCAACTGGGGCTGTCAGCCAGAGCACCTGCCCACGGCCTCTCCATGTGACTTGGACTCTTCCCAACGTGGTGACGGGGTTCTGAGAGGAAACTTCCCCAGAGGGGACCCAACCAGCATTGCAGGACCACGGAAGTCACACAGTGTCATTTCTGTGACCTCTATTTGGTCGAAGCAGTTGCAAACCTTGCTTAGATTCACATGGAGGACATCCCACTTCTCAATGGAGCAATGTCGAAGAATTTGGACCCTGGCTTTAAAACCACCAGAAAGGGATGCGGTTTTGGGGAGGGGGGGAACCACTCAATCAACCGTGTGGAGGATGGACTGGAGAGGGTAAAGTTGGGTCCCATAGAAGGGGGACTCTTCCTGGCCTCCATGGGTTAGGAATGGGGGAAGGATACTTCCCAAATGGAAACCGGATATTATTAGCGAGGAGGAAAGGTGGAGTTCGAGAGTCCCAGGATGTCCAAGGGGCGGCAGGCAGAGGTTGGCCAGCACAGGCAATTGTCTACAAGAAGCTGGAGAGTCAGCCTGCTTGGGGCTTAGCCAAGAAATCCGGGCTGCGGATTTGGGAGCCAGCAGCACACAGATGGTGGTGAGAGCCCTGCACACAGATGTGCAGTAGAGAGGCTCGAGGGCCCAGGAGAGTCGCCAGAGGGTGCTGTGAACTGGGCACGAAGGAGGAGGGAGAAGGAGGTTTAAAAGGAAGCACACTTACTTAGAGTGTTTCGTGGAGCCAGAAGGGGAAGATTTTAAGAAGCAGCAGTCCGCAGTGTCAAACACCACAGAAGCCCCGTGAGACCCCCAAGTGCCCATTGGATTCGGCACTTAAGAGCGTCAGCTGTCTGGAGTCCCAGCTCAGAAGTCTCACCCACAGTGTCCATTTTCGAGGAATTTGTCCATTTCGTCAAAGCTGTCGGTTCTGGTGGCATAACATTACTCACAATACACTCCAATTATCTTGTTACTACCTGTCACGTCTGTCTCGATGTCTCCTCCTCAGTCCAGATATTGTTCGTTCTGGCTTTCTCTCTCTCTTCTTGGTCACTCTTGCAGGGAGCTTCTACCACACCCACTTGACGCTGAGACCGTGGCTGATGTTTGAAGGGGAGACTAAGATCTGAGCCATTTCAGGTGGGAAGAGACCTCCAGACAAAAGTTAAAACCTTAATAACTAACCCCCGCGCCCCAATCAGACACAAACACAGCAGGGGAAAGAGACCAAACCGTCGATGACGTCAGCCAAACAACACACAGGTCGGGCGTGTGTCACGTGAAAACAAAGCCTGCGTATCTTGCCCTTGTCCTGTTTTCAGCTGAACAAAGGACCTCAGCTTTGGGCCTCTTGTAGCTGAAACAATAATAATAATCCTCATGTTAAAGTCTGCTTCCAAACGGTAAAAGCCATTCATAGACCGACAGGGATTGCTCCTTTCGGCAGGCTGGCGCTAAAGAATCGGCATTAGAAAGACAGACTTGGCTGAAAGCTCTGTGTCTTCGAATAGTTTCTTAACCTCTGTGAGCCTCAGTCTCCAAAACTGGCAGTAACTCCAACCTCGTTTACATATACGTAAGGATTAAGTGAAATATCGTGTGTAAGACACTCAGTCAATGGCAACTGAGTCAAGGGGCTTTTCATCCCAAGTGATAGGAACCCAACCCAAAATTACCTTATAGGGGATAAAAGGGAATTTATAGATGTGACGGCTTTGAATGTAGCGACTCGTCGAGGCTGAACGGCAGCCCCCAGAACTCCCTTCCTGATCTGTTTCTGTTCGGGCGGGCTGCAGGCGCTGATCCCTCTGCAGGGCTGCTGGGTGCAAGTCTGGGTGCAAGGAGCGGTGGCTGTCTGGCAGCACACCTGCATCTGCTCCAAGGTACCTGATCAGATGCTGACCCAGGTGCTTCAGGGAGGAATTCTGCGGGTGTGATTGAAGTCCCTAATCAGTCGACTCTAAGTTCATCAGTGGGAGATTACCATGGGTGAGTGTGACTTACTCGGTTAGGAGCACTTTAAAGCAGACTCGGCCTGCTCCGGGGGGAGAAGTGCCACGTGGCTGCTGGACTGGCCCTTGTTCTCCCTTCCCTCCAGCCCCTCCTTCTCCCTGCAGCCAGGGGTCATCAAGTGTCAGCTCTCTCACCACGGGTTTCCAGCCTGCTTGTGACCCCGTAACCGGATGAAATTGCCCATCCCTCTAATTCCCGTGACTCTTGCCCCTCCCCCTCCTGGCCAGCTGCCCACTGGCAGGGCTCATCCCGGACCTTGCTTCATTCCCAGAGCTGCTCCTCGCCCAAAATCTTCACTCCCAGCCAACGCTTCAGTGCCAGTTCTCAGGGCTGCCGTTAAACAGTCTTGCTCCTCGCCCTGCACAGTCTGTACGGACCGA